AGTTGGAGGTTGCTGTGAGCGTGATGCCATGGCACTCTACCCAGGGGGATAGCTTGAGGCTCCGTCTCAAAAAAAAAAAAAAAAAAAAAGAAACGAAAAGAAAACAATTCCCTTTTCCCCAAAGACCCCTTCCCATAGATTCCTTCCAGTATGACTTATCAGATAGGTAAGTTTTTGCTACACTTATTACAATATTTTCTCACATACAGGTTTGAAATATTGTAGAAAGTTACTGGGGCTCGGCACCTGTGGGTCAAGTGGCTAAGGCGCCAGCCATGTACACCCAAGGTGGCGGGTTCGAATCCAGCCCAGACCCACCAAACAATGACGAATGCAACCAAAAAATAGCCGGGCATTGTGGTGGGCGCCTGTGGTCCTAGCTACTTGGGAGGCTGAGGCAGGAGACTCGCTTGAGCCCAGGAGTTGGAGGTTGCTGTGAGCTGTGGTGCCACGGCACTCTACCCAGGGGGACAGCTTGAGGTTCCGGTCTCAAAAAAAAAAAAGAAAAAAGAAAGTTACTGGAGAAAACTGAATGCAACATTCACTTATAGAGTTGCTTTTGCTCCTAAAAGAGCATTTTAAAATTTAATAAGTATTGCATCATAGGGCAGTGCCTGTGGCTCAAGGAGTATGGTGCCAGCCCCATACACCGGAGGTGGTGGGTTCAAACCTGGCTCCAGCCAAAAACTGCACCAAAAATTAAAAAAAAAAAAAGTATTGCATCATAAAGTTATTCCCCAACTACAGTGTTTTTATCACTTTGCAACATATGAATTTTCTGATATTCAAAGTATATCTATGTAAAGCTCATTCCTTTCTCATGCATTCTCTCTTGGTTGCAGATGCAGAATGCAGGCTGATGTCTGGCTTTCTCATATCTATTAGATACGTGCTTTTTCTTTGTAGGAATTTACAAATACAGCATAAGGGAATTCTATCAAATGAATCTTTTCAATATTGAGTTCATCTCCTGTTACTGCAAAAAAGAATGAGCAGCTACTAATGGCTTTCTTACATGTTCTTGGGGGTTTTCTCCAGGATGTTGAATACATTATGGGCCACATTGCTTGTTGCTCATATAAGGCTTCTTTCCAAGAGTTCTCTGAAGGGAAGGCTTTTTTTTTTTAACATTCTTTACATTTTTAGGTTTTCTCTATAGTGTGAATTCACTGGTGTTCAGTAAGGAATGAATGGTAATTAAATGAATTTTCATAGTCATAAGGGTTCTCCAGAGTGTGTGTTCTTTGATGTTTAGCAAGGTTGGAGCTCCAGCTGAAGGATTTGTTGCATACCTTGCATACATAAGGTTTCTCCCCAGTGTGAGTTCTCTGATGTAGAATGAGGGAAAAGCTCCGACTGAAGGCTTTGTCACATTCGGCACATGCATAGGGCTTTTCTCCAGTATGAATTTTCATATGTTGAATAAGGGATGCGTGCCAAGTGAAAACTTTACCACATTCCTCACATTCATAGAGCTTTTCTCCAGCATGAATTCTCTGATGTTTAGTAAGGAATGAGTGGCAACGGAAAGCTTTTCTACATTCACTACATTCATATGGTGTTTTGGTTGTATGGATGCTTTGATGTCGAGTAAGGTGTGAGAAACGGCGAAATGCCTTCCCGCATTCAATGCATTCATAAGGTTTCTCTCCAGTATGTGTAATCTGATGACGAATGAGTTCTGAGCCACTACTAAAGGCTTTCCCACATTTCCTACATACATATTGTTTCTTGCCTATGTGAATCCTCTGATGTCGAGTGAGGTTTGAGGCACGGCTAAATGCTTTTCCACACTCAGTACATTCATAAGGTTTCTCTCCAGTATGTGTTCTCTGGTGTTCAATGAGGAATGAAAGATAACTGAATGTTTTATTACAGTCCTTACATTCATGGGGTTTCTTTCCAGTATGTATCATCTGATGTTTCACAAGGTTTGAGATCTGGCTAAAGGTTTTGCCACATTCCTTACATACATATGGTTTCTCTCCAGTATGAGTTCTCTGATGTAACACAAGAGAAAAGCGGCGACTGAAAGTTTTTCCGCATTCATGGCATCCATAGGGCCTCTCCACAGTATTGATACTCATATGCTTAGCCAAGTTTTCTTGATGAGAGACTGTCACTTGCCTGATATATCCCTGACTTCCTTGCAGCATCTCAGTATCCTCTTTGCATTTCCAGCCTCCTTTAAAGCTAGAATACACAGGGCGTTGGCACAGAATTCTTTCCATTATCAAATACTGAGATGAATCATTAATATTTTTTGGAGAAGACTCTTTGTTCTCACCATTTGACTGTGAAACTGAAAGATAACAAAAAACAAAGCAATTGTTTCTCTTTTATTCTACATCAAATAAAATAAAGCCATTCCTCACTTAATAAGAGAATTAAGTACAGAAAAATATCTTATCAATTGCATGGCTTTTATAGCTCTCATATATGACTGAAATCTGACCAGTATGCCTCCAAATTCAGAAGAAATCAAATAGAGATGTGGTTAATTAAGTAGAAAGATTAAATGTAATGTTCCCTTAATGCCTCTAAATATCTTACAATAATTTATTCTAAATGGGGAAAAAAGCTTTCTCTGAAAACTATTGTCTATGATCCTCTGTTATTCACCTTCTAAACTGCTAGGAAGCTCATCTTTGAGCTTCCCATCAAATTCCTTTGATAGACAAACATTAGCCCTGATTCTCTCCAGGCTTAATTTTAGAAATGGATTTAATCACTTTTAAATTGGAACAGAACTTCATATTATGAGGTATTTTTCTTAGAAATAAATTCAAGTTTTTATTTGTAAGAAACATACACTTATGAAAGAAGGGGTAAAATGCCATAATATATAAAACTTATCAAATGTTTCAGAAAAAAAGTCATATACCAAATCATAAGGCAAATGGAGCAAAATGTCAGTAAAGGTGAATGTAAGCGTATAGTATGTGGGTATTCTTTGTACTATTCATGTAACTTTTATGTAATTTTAAAATTATTTCCCAATAATATCTAGAAATTCATTTTTCTCTAACATACACTTCAACACTTATTTTGTTTAGAGGGCATTCTATCTGTCATTATCACTTTAGCTGTAAGCTTTCAAGGAAAAAGTAAATAGACCTCATATTTATTTAATACCTACCTCAGTAATGAATCAAAATTTACACCTGTATAGTAGGTACACAAAAATACATGACAAATAAGGATTAAGGATGCAGTGAAATAGTTGTTAGTATGATGAACTCAGTAACAAAAAAATCTTAAATTTCTTTCCTGTCTCTTCTATAAATCAATTCCATACCTAAAGTACCTAGGGATATAAACCGAGTAATTCTCTTCAGGAGCTGAGAATATAAATAGAAAGAGAACACAGAAATCATTAGTTAATCATATAAGACACAAGATAGTTCATTATACTTCAGGTAAAAACTGCATAAAAGATGAGGGACAGGATATAAAAAAACCACTGCAACAGATTAAGAAAGGTCTCATCGGCTCGGCGCCTGTGGCTCAAG